GTGTCTCTGGCGTTTTATCAACTTGGCCCTGGTGACTCAACTGGCATCCCCACACAGTGACTCAACTGCATCCCACACACCTTGAGCCATCATGAAGACCTCCATCTTTATAGCCCATGCTGCGTAGTTACTTTTCGTCAGCATAGGATATTTCAACGTTACTGAACCTTCTTTCTCGGGGAACAAGGCGCCTTCAACTGTAGAGGTGTCTCCATCATTAGAGGCTTCTTCACTTTGTTCTCTCTCTATTTCTATGTGAGACATTGTGTTGTGTAGGCCTTGATCTTAAGGCTCTGATACCAAATGTTGGAAATACAGCAAGGGGAAGACCTACTTAAGATAAACAAAATAGAACTCTTACTGCTGCATTTAAATTCTGCAGATAGAGTACGCACTTTTTAGAGGAAAAACTTGATTCTATTTTTATTAGACAAGGTGGAAAAAACCTCTAATCTACTCTCCTCTTTATAGTCTGTAAAGGGAGTTTGTTACAGCAAAATCGGCTACTTACTATTATGCTAAAGAACTACAAAGTGGACTGCTTCTGTTTCCACGTTTTATTAGCCAACTACTCCTTACTTTTCTAGCAAAAAAACTCAGTCAAACAAATTAACAAAAATAAACAGTTTGCAATTTAAATTTAGTTCAGCAAGTTATATAAACTATAACAAGGGAGAGGAAATTATGGTAGCTTTAGACTGAGGAAGGGAAGAGATTATCAGCAAACTCATCGAAAAAAACTTTTCACAGTAATCATCTCCATAGCCAACGGCTTCTTCTGGTTTGCTTTGATTCCATGTTGATTTAATTCTTAGGAAACGAATTGAAGTTGATTTTTGCGATTTTATGCTTGGGGCAATTTTATTTATACTTTTGGCAACCTTTTATTCCTAAAAGTCGTTAGGAAATCCGGATTAATACGTTAGGAAATCGGATTAATAGGCGAAATCATAATCGGAGTATTAAAAGAATATAAATCCGAATAGAATTTTGATTTCTACTAAATTCAGAAATTTGCAATTAATTGTTTTTTTTAAAACGTAAATTTTTTAACCAATGAAACGTAATTCTAGCTATTCTGCCCTTCACAGTGCCTCTTAAACCAATCCCTGAGTTAAATTAATTAAAGGATGTTAAAGTGGCTATTTCTATTTCTTACTGCTTGATTTAACTCATAGTTTGAATTCAACATTGTTGAAATTAAGCAGAAAAGTGGGTATATGGCTATATGCTTTTGTTTTCTGGTGAGATTAAAATTTTGTGTAGCATAAATAGCCTATATACTATTAAATGATCAGACCGTATGAACAAAACACGAAATAGATCAAAGTGCAATGAGAAAACCCTTAATTGGTTTGGTTGGTTTTTAATTGGTTTAGTTGGTTTTTCACAAACTCTAGCTACTTCAACAATTAAACTCTGAAAATGCCTACTATGTCTAAATTTCTACTTGTGACAAAATGTTGTGTTCATGCTTCTGGGATCATGTCCGCTGCTGATGACAATGTAGATGAGTACTCTACCTCTACATTTGGTGTAGTTGCAGAGAATAGAGGTTTTGGTGGAATTTGCAAAGATTGCAAACTACCTTCCAACATCTCTATTACCTTTGTCATTGATGGTCTATCTGATGGATTTGTTTGGATTTGTTTTGAATACCCACCATAACCCTATTATTATTATCCTTCTCACCAATCTTACTTCCTTTCACTCTTCTTATCACATTCTCATTTCATAACTAGGAAAATTCTCTACTGGTTAAAGATACTTATAAAGCTCATCTGGAAAATACATTTCGCTGCCTCTGATGCTTTAATATTCACTTAGTATTTCTTTCTTCCAAAACATTTCAAGGATCATTCATTCCGTAAGCTATACACATTTCAGACTTGTTAAGAATGCCCCACCTAAGCTTCTCATAAACCAACTTCTGGGAGCAATGTACCCTACTGTCCTAAGCTTCTCATAAACACTTCTGGAGCAATGTACCCTACTGTCCCTCGCGCACTCAACATTGACACTATACTTTCTTTTCTCTTGCATAGTTTTGCAAGACCAAAATCAGAGATTTTTGGACAGAAATCATCATCTAGAAGGACATTTTGAGGTTTTATATCAAAATGCACAATCCTAGTATTACAACCTTGATGCAAGTATTCTAAACCTCTAGCAATGCCAATTGCAATGTCAGATAACATTTTCCTTTCTAGCTGATTGCCTAAATCGTATATGAATATATCTAGAGACCCATTAGGCATGTATTCATATATCAAAGCTCTTTTAGTCCTCTCATAACAAAATCCTAATAGAGTAACAATATTGACATGTGAAGTTCTACTAATACTCGCAACTTCATTAATAAATTCTTCTCCCTCGCCTATAGATTTATTTAAAACTTTTACTGCCACACATCGACCATCCTTTAATTTTCCTCTGTACACGCTTCCAAATCCACCTTGACCTAGTTTATCAGCAAATGAGTTGGTAATTTTCTTAATGTCTGAATATGAATACCGTTGTGGCTGAGAGAATGATAGTTCATAATGACATGCTTTCTATGTCTTTTTTCTTGTTTTCTGGTCTTCGTTTTCGCTCCAAAATCCTTTTCTAGTGATGCAATAACAAATAACTGAAAATAGCTGCAACTGCACTGCTGCGCCAAGTCCTGATACTGAAAATAGCTGCAACTGCCACTGCTGCGCCAAGTCCTGAAATGGAAAAAAGATTCCTCAGATTTTCTTTTGTGTAACTAATTTTATTTCAACTTTAACATGTATGTTTGTAGCAGAACTTAATCGTACCTATTCCAAGTTTCACTGATATATTTGATTTGTCTCCTGCAATAATCAGTTGTGCCAGAAATATTAGGTGATGAATGACCATAATGAAATAAGTCTGGGACGGAATAGTGTCACACTACAAAATTATTGTTCCTTGGTTCTTATAAAATTAATTAACTCATCGTCCTGTCAGTCTCCGAGGTTTGATTCCCTTCATGTGGTCCTTCCATTCAAATTTCGATGAGTTTTGCTGTTAAATACCTAGTCAAAGACTAAAATGCCCTTTTGATAAGACAAAAATTAAAAGTCAATATGCTTTTTCTTCTCCTCTTCACCCCAAATCTCCGTTTCTGCAACTATATAAATTCAATAAATAAATAAATTAAGTAAAAAAATCATTTAAAAATATAAAGTCAGGTTAGTTGTATTTTTTCAACCATATGCATCGTACTGTAATTTTTTTGACATAATATTCTAGTATCTCACCTTTTATCTCTGTATTTTCTTGTTGATTTAGCTGAAAAGATGCAAAAATTGATATATTTTAAAAAAGATAGAGACGGATTAGTTATATTTTATAAACCACATGGATTGTACTATATTTTTCCATTTAAAATACTTTTATCTCTTCTCTCTTACTTTTTAAGTCTTATTTAACGAAAAAAAGAGTTGATCTCAAACAGAATGACCATTTAATAAGACAGAACTATTTAATGAGATAGAACCAAACTTCGGAGACTAGATACCCAATATATAAAAACATGAGGACGAAATAATTAATTTTATAAAATCTCAAAGATGAAATAATTTTCCTATATATATAAAAATAAAGCAATTGCTATCAAAATTTTAATTGATAATGTTGATTTTGGTGTTTATACTTGTTTTTTTTTTTGTGTTTGAATAAAAAATTGTGACAATTGAATATTAATTCTTTTTTCAATTTTATGTGTTTTTGATGATACGAATAATCGAAATATTTAATGAAACTGAGTGAAATTCACGTGTTCTTATACATCCCTTTACATGACATGACATTTATTTCGGTTTGGTTGTCCAACGTGGCAAGAATAGTGAATTACCATTTAACCCCTGTTTATTACCCTAATCTATCATGTTTCTTTCTCTTTCTTTCTCTTTCTTTCTTTTTCTTTTGGGGTCTCTACAACTCTTCTCTCTCTTCCATTGAAAACCACCGATCTTGGAGGAGACGAAGAAGCAGAGTCGTTATTAAGCAAGGCAAAGCAGGAGAAAGAAAAAGAAGACACACCTGCACACCTGATTCCTGTTGATTTGTTGTTCCACAACTAAACGGTTGAGCCTGATCAGAGCAATAACAAGCAAATGAACTAGTAGTATGGTTGTAACCACAGATCCCACCAGACAATTTACACGTGGCACAAGTAGACTCCTTTGCAGTCCATTGCAGTCCAAAACCCTGCTCTAAAGCTCTAATCAAATTGTCCTCTGTAGGACTAATCTCTACAGGCGGAACAGCTGACTCTATTGCCGGAACGGTAACGTTATCTTTGCAAGTTTCCAAGAAGCTCCTTATTGAATTGCCAAAAGAACTTAGCCTTCTTGTCACATAAAAATTAATGCTATCGCCCCTCACATAAGGACCATTTCTATCGCTGTTGTTGGAGGGACAAGTAAACTGACTTGAGAACCCTTGAGGTATAGCAATTGCAGTCGAAAGAGCAGGACAATGATAGTACAGAGTTATATTTCGAATACCCGAAGAATAATTGAAAGAAGCTGAATTCAAAGAAGTGTTGTGAAGGAAATTAGGACAGATTCCTCCTATGTAGTCTGTTCTAGCAACCTTAAGAGTCTGTGACTCGCTATCGATGTCAAGGACTTGGTAAGTTAGATTCGTGATTGTGATCACTGCGGTTTCTTCTGTGCAATTAAGCCAGAAGTCCGGTTGGCCACAGTAATTGCCACAGGTAATTAGGTCGAGCTGATCCCCAGAAGGATTCCCCAGAAAGGATAGCTAATACCTGTAATGTTTCCACAATCAAATGTTCCGCTGCAGTTCTGGTATCGCTCATCAATTGCAGATACAAATCTTGAAGGGTAGAGAGAGATTATAGTAATGATTAAAGCCAAAGACAGGGCTGTGAAGGAATGGGATTGCATTTTCAGAGAGTGAGAGAAGAAGAGACACGGTTTTTAAGGTTATGTGATAATTTGTAAAGAAAAGGTTCAATTGGAATGGTTGATTAATGGTGGTCAATGCAAGCTTTGGTAATATGAAAAAAATTGGAATAAACTCAAATTTCCTACCAAAGAATAAGTCAGCTATATAAATCAAAACACGGATGATGCAAATCAAAACACGGATGATGCATCTACAGTTCAGTGCAGTATTATATATGGTAATTTTTGAAGAGTCAAAGTAAACCAACCACACAGAAGATGGTAAAATCAGAAATTTAAAAATACTTAATTTTTTTATAATTTAGAAACCAAAAAAGTTAAGAAAATGGGGACCATACCTTGAACCGCCTTTCCACCCTAATTTTAATTAACTCAAAGATTAAAATTTTCTTAATTAGATAGGCCTTTTTCAAATCTTAATTTCAAGGGACAACTTAAAATGGTTAAAAAACTTAGGCTTCTAAGATTACAAAAATGTCAATTTATATATATATATATATATATATATATATAAAAATTAAGAACATGTCAATATTGCTAAAAACTATATCAGTAATCCCCAAACTATCCTTATACAGCTTATATAATTCAACCACAACGATCGCGACCGGCAGCGATGGCATCAACGGTAAATACAAAGTGTATATACACACACATGTATGTAGTATGTACGGTATATATATGTAAAGCCAATTAGCAATCTCATAGGAAAAGTGATTTTTGTGAAATATGCTTGGGTACCTTATTTCAAAATTATAATATTGGTATTAATAGGCCAAATTACGATATTAGTATTACAAAAAATGAAAATCCGAGTAGAAATTTGATTTATCCTAAATATAGGAATTTGCAACTAATCTTTTATTTTAAAATTTTATTTACAATCAAAAGAAAGGTATTTTGAATCTTTCAGATGGCTTATATATTGAAACCCTTGATTTCAATCACTCGCTTTCAGATGGCTTATATATTGAAACCCTTGATTTCAATCACTCGATACTTTCAGATAGGGGCGGCCATTCATCGGTCTGGTTCAAGCCAAGCTGAAGCAATGCAGACTAAGTAGGCTGATATTTTTTTAATTTAAATTGAACCAAAATTGAATAGTGTATAAAATCAAACTAAACCGATTCAACTCGGTTCAATTTGATTTTAACTATTTAAAGCATATTTGAGGTTATTTTTATTTAATAGGAACCAAACCAGACAAAAAAATTTAGTTCTCCACTAAAAATAAAAATAGAATCAATTTACCAAATCAGCTCAGTAGGATTTTGTAAAATACTGAATCAAACCAGACTGATTCAATTCGATTGTTCAATTTTTCCAAATTTGGCTCAACCTATTTCCAATTCCAAACATCAAGCAGCTATGAAACGCGGAAGAGAAACACATTTATGACAATAAAAACATGATGACTACTTTCTAAAATCAGCACAAAACATTATTAACATTTAGCTAAATTTGAAATGAGCAGAGCAACTGTTTTTAGAGAGGAGTTAAAAACTTAAAATGCAAGATTTAGCTTAATTTGACTCTTCTTCTAAGATACATACAGATATGACATTTATGTAGAAAGACATTTATGTAGAAAATTACACTCAGAAGCAATGATTTAATATGAAACTTGTTGCTCGTTACAAAAGCAAGAGTGAAAAATACACTATCTTCTCAAGTGGATCCATGCACATATTTTATTGGAGCTCTTCGTGTAAGCAATCACCAGACCAAGCCTTTTCTTCTCCTAAATCTATCAACACGGTCAGTGTAACGTCCCATTTTTCTATTGAATCGAGTCGTTGCTTAGAGTCGAGTCGGACTGATCCAAAACCCGGTTCGATCCATTAGATTCTAGAGTGGGGGCTAGAATGGGTTGAAATGTGAAAAAGGAAAAGAAGTGGTACTTACTTAAGGAAACAAAAAAGATCCAAAGATTTATAGGATTAGGACTTGCTTTGCACGAAAGTGTAAAGTTTGACGGTATGAGTTGTATCATTTGACACTTGAGGTACCATGGTAGATTTTCACAAAAAATCAATGGACATTCTAGAAGACTACCCCCCGTGGATTCCATTTCATTTTCAATTCTCATCCTTAATCTTCATCTCTTCCTCTACCTTCCCTCTATACTTACTTTTCTCCATCACGTTAATGGTGGGAAGATTTAATGGGAGCCTAAGCATTAATTTCATATTTTAGAGTATTCATAAGAATTCTTATGTATAGGAGAGGTGAGCTCAAGGTAGAAGGAAGCTAAGAAGAAGATTCCAAGCTTATTAAGTGAAGATGTGCTATCTCTTTTAGTTTAATTCATTTCCTTGCATGATAAATTGTATGGTGTGTTGATAATGAGAAGATATGTTGCTTAATATTGAGTAAGATGACTGAAAATGGTGAAAAAGCATGAGATGAAATAAATAAATGACGTAGATATTGAGTTTTTACTGAAACAGGTTTTGCTGGAAAAGTAACTAGTAACTTCACCATGATTTTTGCCCTATTTAATGATGGAATTAGGAAGGGGCGAGTTATTTGTTTCCCTTATGTGTTAAGCTTTACGTGGGCTTTTGGAATCAACTCAATTGAAGTTGTATATGAGAGTATGCCAAAAGAACACAGACTGCACAATCATGGAAATACGTCGCGCGCTCGCCGCGTTCTGGAAAAGCATCCGCGCTTCGCGACTTTTTCACTATTGCGCGGTCGCGGACTTTGGCCGAGCTTCTCTGACTCTCAGTCTTGCGGCATTTCGCGGCTCGCGGAACTTTCCAGAAGGCGCTCGCGACTTCATCTCGCTGCTCGCGAACCCTTTGTGCTGCGCGGTCGCGACTTGAGCCAGAAACCTTCTCTGACTTCTCGATTGCACTTCTCCGCTCCGAGGTTTGAAAAGACGCGCTCGCGACTTCTCTCTGGAAGCATCTCGGCTCGCGACTTTGCCCTGCGCGCTTCGCGAACTTGTTTTTCATGCATTTTGGACTTCGTTTTCTATACAATTTACATTCCTTGCTCAACATGCATGCATTCCCAATCATTTAAACAAAATATAACATAAAGAACATGGCATTAAAAAACAACATGTAAGCATTTTATATGATGTGAAATCAAATCAATTATGATAACCCATTGACGTTGTGAAAACCATTTTTATGTGCTATTGTGTTAATTGTTGACATGCTAAATCTTAAGCCTCCATCGAAGGTTAGTAGAAAAACCATGTTAGATAATGGCTATGTCGCGACATAGAAATAAGCAGATCTGCGCCCCATACAGTTTGGACTCGGCTAGCAGGCCGTTGAGTGCGAATATGATTAAACCGTGCGGTGCAATCGGTAGGGGCCACCAAAAGGGACAATATGGCATAGGCGAATTCCGGTTTCGGGGGCCTATAGCATTACCGTTTCATCCAGTTTCATACAGTTGGTTTTTCTATCAACTTCGTTTCCACTATAAACCTTATGGAGCTATACAGGTTAATCGCACTTACCAAATTGCATTAATCATACAGATAACTAAACAGCAAGAAAAGATCAATTAAGGGAAAATGAAAGTATCATGATATGTGTGCTACATTCCATATGTGAGTAAATGTTTAGTTCTACATATGTATGTCTTATATGTTCTTCATTCAATTGTGATATTCACTGAGTGTAATCAAAAGTTGCAGAGTTTCATACAAACCATAAAGAACATCAGTTAAGATTATGAAAGTATCATGTATATATTGCCTTAAAAACAAGTTTATTTATTTAATTCTTACTGAGCCATACAGTTTTATTGAAAATGTTGTTAATCATACCTTATATGCTGTGACTAAAGGCATCAGTCATACAAACAGAAGAGCAGCAAGTAAGACATGGAAATATAATGTTATGTATCATACATGTTTATGATTCATTTCACCCACAAGCATAATGAATAGCAGTAATAGCAGGTAAGACATGGATAGTATTCATAAGTGTGAGTTAAAGGTTCATGTAAAGGAGTATGACGATATTAGAAACTAAATTTGATGTTTATGAATTAAGAAGTTATTCGTTGCTATAAAGGAGGACATTTACGTTGAAATTTACTGATTTCTATGATGATCAATGTTTTATGAAAATTTGTATTTAAGTTAGTTGCCATCACACTTTGTTAAGTATTGTGAGTTTATGAGCACCACTAGTTATACTAGCGCGTCGACTTATCACGCGCAGGGTTGAAGATTGTTATTGCACTAGAAGACTTGAAGAGTACTATCAAAGCAGAAGTGATGAATTTGGGAGTAGTAAATGAGAATTATATAAGTAAGAATTTATGGCATGTATTAGATTGTATGGCATGTATAATTACTATGTTTGGTGAGCTTATGTATTGTAAAATATAATTGAACATGTAATTATTTTGGTGTAAGTAGATTGGAGATAGAATAATACTTATGAAATGAACTTGAGATGAATAGTTACTAATTTGGTATTATTAGGTCATGAAAAACTTGATATAGATCTGATGAAAATTAATTGCTAGATATAAATGCTATTGAGGATTTATACAATTATGAAAAGATATTAAAAGTGTATTGTGTTAAATTACACTCAGAAGCAATGATTTAATATGAAACTTGTTGCTCGTTACAAAAGCAAGAGTGAAAAATACACTACCTTCTCAAGTGGATCCATGCACATATTTTATTGGAGCTCTTCGTGTAAGCAATCACCAGACCAAGCCTTTTCTTCTCCTAAATCTATCAACACGGTCGGTGCTCATCCGGGATTTTTCAGGTTTATCTGGCTTCTTAGACTTCTCAAGCCTACTATCTAAACTATTTCTAGAGATTTCAGGAAGGTCAGCACCCAATTCGAAAGTATCTGAACTTCCGCTCTCAGATGGTTTGTTCTGATTTTCTGACACAGTTGTCTTTTTAGAGCCATTTGTGGCTGCTTTTGATTTTCCTAGCGATAGCACAAACTTCTTCAGATGTCTGATGAATTCTGGATAAATTTAGAAGAGCAGAAAATTAATGAAGAGAAGGAAAATTCTGCAGAGAATGAAAAATCTGTAGATTTTGTAAGTATGGAGAAACAAATATTCACATCTCATTGATTATATTACAGCATAATGTAAACATTTATAGTAGAGTCATTCTAAAGTTTGTTCACCAACCTTCCATAAGTCAAGGAAGGTTGTTCACCAAACCTACCTAAAAGCAAGGTAGTTTAACTATTTCTTGACTTCAACAAAGTACAACGTACAACAAAAATCTAAATGACTTTAACAAAATTTCTCCAAAAACTGTCAACAACACTTGCATCAATTTTAGCTTCAATGGAGCTGTAGCTGTAACTTTAACACTTCTCCTTGATGCAAGAGTTGAGACAAACACCAAGTCTATTCCTAAGAAATTCAAATCTTGGTTTTTGGCAATGCCTTGGTGAAAATATCTGCTGTTTGGTCTTCAGAACTGGAATGATCAACCTGAATTTTATTTTCCTTTTCAGCTTCACGTATTGCATGGTACTTGATTTTTTTATGCTTGGTTTTTCTATGGAAGATTGGATTCTTTCCATGGAAGATTGGATTCTTAACCATAGCAACAGCTGATTTATTATTACAAAGTATTTTAGTTGGATTTTCTTGCTGAAAATTCAGATCCACTAACACCTTTCTCAACCAAATAGCTTGATTTATAGCAGCAGATGCTGCAACATACTTTGCCTCTGCAGTTGATTGAGCGATTGAAGCTTGCTTTCTTGTTCCCCAGCAAATGACAGCAGAACCAAGTGAAAAACAAAAACCAGTAGTGCTCTTCATATCATCCAATGACCCAGCCCAATAACTGTCTGAGAAACGCCCAACAAACTCACACATTTTAATCTTCCTAAAAACAAACAAATTCAGCAGTCCCTATCAATATCTCAAACTCGTTTGGCTGCTTAAGATGGATTTTCAGTTAGAGAATTCATTGAATCTCGACAGTAAAATTACAGTAAATTTGTTGCAAACATGATATCTGGTCTTGTTACAGATAAATACAACAAAGAACCAACCATGCTCCTATAAGTTGAAGCATCTATAGAGTGAGAACCATCATCCTTTTGCAATTTTATTCCATGGGCTATAGGTGTACTCACTGGTTTGCATTTGCTAAGTTCAAACCTTTTAAGCAGCTCCCAAGCAAATTTCTTTTGTGAAATAAAAATCACTTGCTCATCTTGAGCAATTTCAATCCCAAGGAAATAGCACATTAAGCCAAGATCATTCATCTCAAAAACCTGCTGCATCTTCAATCTGAATTCTTGAATTAATTGTAAATTGTTACCTGTGACAAGTAGATCGTCAACATACACAGAAACGATAAGCACATCATTCCTTGCTTGAAGTTACGTAAAGTGTTACCTCATTAACTTTCTTTAAAAACACCAAAATTCAGCAAGTAAGGATCAATCTTGGCATACCCAGGCCCTTGGGGCCTGTTTTAAAACCATTAGAGTAGCTTTTTCAACAAAACACACTCTATTGCTCCATCATTAAAAACCTCAGGGCCGCGCTCAATATTCACACTTCTTCTTCAAAAGAACATTAGAAAAGCTGATTTCACACCAATTTTGAAAGACTTGCCAACCTTTCACTTCTGCTAGGCCAAACATCAATGCTGATAGTGTTTCAAAATTCTATGCACGACTAGTGTGCAAAGGTTCTTGTAGAATTCAACCCACGTTACTGTTGAGCGTAGCTGTTAACAACATATCTTGCTTTGTTGCTTATTATGGGAGCTCATCGCGGAATCTTTAATTTCAATTTGAATACCATTTTAGTTCCAGTTACTGCTTATTTCCAATGGTCTTAGAACTAAAATCCATGTTTACGTTTTTCATAATCATTCTTCAACTCCTCCTCCATGGGTAGCTCGTCCACTCAGGCAATTTTAAAGGCTTCATCACCTGAGTTGGTTCAAGTGAGACATTGGTTCAAGTGAGACAACATTACATCTGTTGTAAATTTCCTCTAGGGATCTGGTTCCTCTAATTGCATAATCATCTTCATCTGATTCTTTTTCATTTTCAACTGGAAGTTCTTACTCTTGCTGAAAAAGATCTTGTTCAAAAACTGATTTAGAATTTCCTGACTCTATTTTACTCTAATCCCATTCACTTTTCTCATCGAATTTGACACTCCTGCTGACATACACATGTTTAGTAACAGGATTCAAAATTCTGTAGGCTTTGGATTCACTGTTGTAGCCTACTAAAATTCCTTTTTCAGCTCTCGTTGATTCCAATTTCCCTCTTTTGCATATTGGTAATAAATGAAAAGAAACATATGCTTTCAAAGATTTTGAGATTGGACCCTACTTTGATGGTTTAACCTCCAAACCAGCTTTCGAAAGGAGTTTTTCTCCAGACCAATAGCTTTTGTTGGAAGCCAGTATCGATTTTGATTGGAAGCCGATTTTGAAGATATACAGCAATGTTTACAGCTTCAGCCCAAAGAACTTTGGGTAGATTTTTCTCAAACAAGAGACATCTCGCTATATTCATCACAGATCGATTCTTTCTTTCACTTACATCATTTTGTTGAGGTGTGTAAGCTACTGTTAATTGATGGTGAATGCCTGCTTCTTGCAAATATTGCTTGAATTGATTGGATGTAAATTCAGCCCCATTATCAGCTCTTAAAATCTTGATTGGGAAGCCAACTTGATTCTCTACCATTGATTTAAACTTCAAGAACATTTTGAAAACTTCAGATTTGAATTGGAGGAAATATACCCACCAGAATCTGGTGTAGTCATCAATAAACAATAGAAAATACTTGCTGCCATTGTAAGATGAGACACTCATAGGGCCACACACATCAGTGTGTATTAATTCAAGTGTGTATTAATTTCATGTTTCATAGAGCTCTCCATGCTTGATCAGATGGGGAAATGGCTGTTGACGACGTTTGCCTAATCCTGACATATCTTCACATATACTGCTGTCTTCAACTACAGATTGGCAAATCATGCCAACTAAACTTTCTGGATTTAGCAATTTTAATGAATTGAGATTGGTTGGTTGATCAAGTGCTCTTATGCCACTAAATCAGATTCTTCTTTATGACTCAAGCAAGATTTTCTTCTAAGTTCTTTAAAGTAGAGGGAAGCTTTCTCCGTTCATTTTTGACAGCAAATAACTTTGAGCTAGGATGGATCACTTATTTACAAGTTTTATCTTTAAATTAGTGCACAACTGTTCAATTTCTCTTATTCCAGCAATTGCACAACGGTAAAATATACTCGACACGCTCTTATATTATGGTTGGATTTATGCTCTCGGGAATAGCATAAACTCGTGATAGTATAAAGCAATTCTCTCTCTCAGAAGGAAATCAAAACCATAATCTAATAGTTGAGCAAGGATAACGAGGAGTTCTTGGTATACAAGTAAATACAGATTACGAAAGTCGGCCTTAGTGTCTCCTCGAATTATACTTAGTCCCCATCACACACGGCCGTGCCTCAGTCTCGAGTACTCAACAATCTGACATATATGTTTTCAGAGAGTAAGAATTAGAGTGGTCACTCTACACGTCTATACAGAGCGTAGATACGCAACTCCCGGGCTTTACTTTCTTTACGGGGCGGCGCGGCTACCCTCGAAGGAAAGAGAAAATTGGCTACTTCCAACATGTGGATGAGAGTAACAAGTACACGGACCCAGCATCTTTACGGCAGTCGACATATCTCCTGCTCTTAAGGATGCTATCAATGAACACCAATTATCGCTCTCGTCAAGATTTTCATAGTTGCAGACAAAAGATGCAGTAAGCTGGCTAAGCAACGGTTGTTGGTATACACTACTTTTTCCAGATTCTCTCAGGTGACAAGTTGTAGGATTCTGCACCGTTGGGTCTATATGTGTGTATAAAGATGTCTCCGATTGCGCCTAGTATAAACATACTAGTGATTTGTTCAGCGGGCTCATCGCTGACTCACATACTATTCTGGCCTTACAACCTTTACATCAGAGTTCCATGAATTTCTTGAAGACAGATGACACTGGGAGTCACGTCTTTCATACAGGTGGTCTTCCGGGATGTTGGATGTGTTTTTTGTGCCACATGTGTGTGCTAGGTTAAAAATCTATCAACTATCCTCCAATTTTTTCTGAAATTCTTCTTTATTTTTGGTTTTCTGTCAGTTTGCTGGCCTCTTGAACCTCCTTCTTGTATTTTTGTTTTATGAGTCACAACAAGAGCCTTCTCTTCAATGGTTTCTTCTTCCCTATAAGCTTTTCTTTGTTCTACAGCTTGTAGAGCATTTGAAAGCACATTCAATGATATTTGTGACATGTCCCTAAGTTTCTTCAAGAGAAGAAATCTTGGCTTCAAATTTTTCAGGGAGAGTCACCATAACTTTCTCCATAATTCTCTTCTCTTCTAACTCTTCTCCCAACACTTTCTCCACCCCAATTCTCTTTCTCTTCAATCTTTCTCCCAAACAATCGAAATTTGGTTTACAATTTTCATAAACTTATCATGTTAATCTTTCACCATTTTTCATTGTTTCACCTTTTCATTTTCCTTCATTTTCAACATTTCAAATTCTTTTCTTAAATTAAATACCTGCATCTGTCTAGTTTTTTCATATCCATGATACTCAATTTTCAACTTCTCCCAAGCTTCATGTGTTGTCTCACATGTCATAATCTTGGTGAAGATAAGATCTACAACAGCTGCATGGATATAGGACAGAGCTTTTGGAGCCTTAGCAACCTACCTCTTCTTCATGTTGTCTAATCTGCTGAAGGGTTGGATTTTGATTAAGAGGTGGAGGTACTCTGTTTTCCTCCACACACTGCCATAATCCAAGCCCCTTGAAATAAGCTCTCATCTTCACAGCCCAACTTACAGCAGACCAAACATGATAGTTTTTCCCATTAAAATGAGGTGGTGAAAGAGACATGCTGCTGGAAGCCATTTGAGGAAAAGCAAATAAACAGAAAAACTTCATAAATTCTGGTTTATTTGGTGGCTTTCTCTATGATTTTCACTCAAACACACACACAGCCCTTTCAGATCAAGGAAGCTTTGATACCACTTGTTAGTTTAGAAGAGCAGAAAATTAATGAAGAGAAGGAAAATTCTACAGAGAATGAAAAATCTGCAGATTTTGTAAGTGTGGAGAAACAAATATTCACATCTCATTGATTCCATTACAGCATAATGTAAATATTTATAGTAGAGCCATTCTAAAGTTTGTTCACCAACCTTCCATAAGTCAAGGAAGGTTGTTCACCAAACCTACCTAAAAGCAAGGTAGTTTAACTATTTCTTGACTTCAACAAAGTACAACAAATCCTAAATGACTTTAACAATACCCTCCAAAAACTATCAACAACACTTGCAATCAATTTCCTTCAATGGAGCTGTAGCTGTATACTTTACAAGATGGTCTGAAGATGTCTGATGAATTCTGGATAAAGCTCAAGATTGCAATGTCCGCCCCCGCTTATCCACAATGGTTCATACTTCTCCTTGCAAAGCTCCGAAAGCTGTTTCCCATGAGAGCAATCAACAACTTCATCTGCTGTTCCCTGAAGAGAACAAATAAATCATATCAATTTCACCTCTAATATCTCTATTCTTCTAAAAAAGATCTCTAATATGAGTAAAAAATAATGCAGTAATTTTATGCGCAAATTCCCATGAACAATATTGTAGGAATGATTGGTTATCTTTATGATTCAAACTTCATTGCAAAGATGGAATGTGCAAGGATATTTGCAGAAAATACAAAATTGCCAAAATTGCAACACAAAAATTGAGCAACAATATAACAATTAATAATTATGGTGATGACTAACTCGTTAGTGTGATGACTAACTCGTTAGTGTGAACTTCTGGTAGCAAATCGTTTGATTAGAGACGAGACAAGATCATATCCACAAACACGACGAGACAAGATCATATCACAAACAACATTGAAACTGACACAACCGTTACACACTGTATTACCTTTCTTCACATATCCGAGCACTGCATGGAATCGTAATGAAGACGCTGCGATAACCATCTTGAGGCACAGATGGTGCAATTTTATTGCAAATCACTTGGGTTTTCTGGAACCGCAGCCTTAGAGGCCTTGATGTGAAATTATAGGAAAGCCCTTCCCACATACTTAAAATTAATTTTCATTCAGCTCAGTTCCTCCCCCAATTTAGAGGCCTTATTCCCCCGTTAAATATTTAAACAAGTATTCCAATTTGAAGCTCAAACAAATCCAAAAACAAACTTCAAGGCAAAATATCATAAAAAAAAAACTAAGTCGAATCCAAACCCTAACCTTCAACTTCTTCATTCAGACGATAAGCTTGTCAAAATATTTTAACGGAATGAAAAATCATGCAATAAAATTGCGGAAATAAAATTGCTACATCAATCATAAAATGACACTACCGAAAAAAAAGGAGAAGAATGACACAATCAAACGATCGTTACGCTTCAACCGAGTTATTATATTCCACCTATATAATTACTACTTAATCATTCAAACAACTATTTAAAATATGAAACTGACATAAAAATACCTACCTAACGAAACAAGCTATGGAAAGATCCAAGCAACAAATTGAACAAACCAATAAAAAAAATAAAATTAATTAATCTTGATCAACACCCTCGTAAGCCCAAGCGTTCTCCTCGCGAAGTCTAGCTTCCTCTTGTGGCGTAAAATCATTCTCAAACCCCAAATAGCGATGAACATATTCCACGCTCTTGTTACTAATATGATCAGCAATGGCCTGACTAAGCAAATCCAACAAATACTTAATTAACCGCCAAAATCAATTCTTTTATGTCTTCAGCTTGTTTCTTCACAAATTCTGCATTATAAGCTTTGAGATCGGTTGGATTAGATTTCAACTTCAAGTAATCCTCGATGTAAGTTATTATCAAAGAGAGCTACGCGGATGACACGTTAGGGACAGGAATTATAGTAGCTTTAGACGAGGAAGAAGAATTATCAGCAAACTTATCGAAAAAACTTTTCACAGTAATCATCTCCATAGCCACGGCTTCTTCTATCTCGAAAAGCTTATTGTCGAAGGTCTTCAAGGTAATGGTTTGCTTTGATTCCATGTTGATTAATTCAAGGTAATGGTTTGCTTTGATTCCATGTTGATTAATTCTTAGAAACGAATTGAAGTGATTTTTGCGATTTATGCTTGGGCAATTTATTTATACTGGCAACTTTTATTCCTAAAGTCGTTAGGAAATCGGATTAATAGGCGAAATGATAATCGGAGTATTAAAAGAATATAAATCCGAATAGAATTTTGATTTCTACTAAATTCAGAAATTTGCAATTAATTGTTTTTTTTTAAATGTAAATTTTTTAACCAATGAAACATAATTCTAGCTATTCTGCCCTACACAATGCCTCTTAAACCAATCCCTGAGTTAAATTAATTAAAGGATGTTAAAGTGGGTATTTCTATTTCTTACTCCTTGTATTTCTTACTCCTTGATTTAACTCATAGTTTGAATTCAACATTGTTGAAATTAAGCTGAAAAGTGGGTATATGGCTATATGCTTTTGTTTTCTGGTGAGATTAAAATTTTGTGTAGCATAAATAGCCTATATACTATTACATGATCAGACCGTATGAACAAAACACGAAATAGATCAAAGTGCAATGAGAAAACCATTATTGGTTTGGTTGGTTTTTCACAAACTCCAGCTACTTCAACAATTGAACACTGAAATTTGCAATGCCTACTATGTCCAAATTTCTGTTTACGACAAAATGTTTTCTTCATGCTTCTGGGATCATGTCCGCTGCTGATGACAATGTAGATGAGTACTCTACCTCTACATTTGGTGTAGTTGCAGAGAATAGAGGTTTTGGTGGAATTTGCAAAGAGTGGAAATTTGCAAAGATTGCAAACTACCTTCCAACATCTCTATTACCTTTGTCATTGATGGTCCTATCCTGATGGAATTTGTTTGAATACAACCATAACCCTAATTATTATCATCCTTCTCACCATCTCTCCTTCATTCCTTCTAATCATCATTCTCATTCATACTAGAATTCCTCTACTGCGTTCAAAGATACTTTATAAAGCTCAATCTGGAAAATAAGCTCATCTGGAAAATACATTTCGCTGCCCTCTGATGCTTTAATATCACTAGTATTTCTTCTTCCAAACATTTCAAGGATCATCATTCCGTAGCTATACACGTCAGACTTGTAAGAAGCCCCTCCTAAGCTTCTCATAAACACTTCTGGAGCAATGTACCCTACTGTCCCTCGCGCACTCAACATTGACACTATACTTTCTTTTCTCTTGCATAGTTTTGCAAGACCAAACTCAGAGATTTTTGGATAGAAATCTTCATCTAGAAGGACATTTTGAGGTTTTATATCAAAATGCACAATCCTAGTGTTACAACGTTGATGCAAGTATTCTAAACCTCTAGCAATGCCAATTGCAATGTCATCTAACATTTTCCTTTCTAGCTGATTGCCTAAATCGTATATGAATTTATCTAGAGATCCATTAGGCATGTATTCATATATCAAAGCTCTTTTAGTCCTCTCATAACAAAATCCTAATAGAGTAACAATATTGACATGTGAAGTTCTACTAATACTCGCAACTTCATTAATAAATTCTTCTCCCTCGCCTATAGATTTATTTAAAACTTTTACTGCCACACATCGACCATCCTTTAATTTTCCTATATACACACTTCCAAATCCACCTTGACCTAGTTTATCAGCCAATGAGTTGGTAATTTTCTTAATGTCTGAATGAGTTGGTAATTTTCTTAATGTCTGAATATGAATACCGTTGTGGCGTGAGAGAGTGATAGTTCATGATGAATGCTTCTATGTCTTTTTCTTGTTTTGTGTTCTTCGTTTTGCTCCAAAATCCTCTTCTAATGATGCAATAACAAATACTGAAAATAGCTGCAACTGCCACTGCTGTGCCAAGTCCTGAAATGGCAAAAAGATTCCTCAGATTTTCTACTGTGTAACTAATTTTATTTCGACTTAAACGTGTATGTTCGTAGCAGAACTTAATCGTACCTATTCCAAGTTTCACTGCTATATTTGATTTGTCTCCTGCTATATTTGATTTGTCTCCTGCAGTAATCAGTTGTGTCAGAAATATTAGGCGATGAATGACCATAATGAAATAAAGTTTGGGACGGATTAGTGTCACACGAAAATAATTATTGTCCCTTTAGTGTCACACGAAAATAATTATTGTCCCTTGGTTCTTACAAAATTAATTAACTCATCGTTCGGTTTCCGAGGTTTGATTCCTTTCATGTGGTCCTTCCACTTAATTTTAATGAGTTTTCCTGTTAAATATCTAGTCAAAGACTAAAATGCCCTTTTGATAAGACAAAAATTAAAGTCACCATGCTTTTTCTTCTCCTCTTCGCCCCAAATCTCCTTTTATGCAACTATATAAATTCAATAAATTATAAAAATCATTTAAAAAATATAAGGAAGAACTAATTGTATTTTTCAAATTATATAGGCCGTACTATAATTTTTTTGATATAATATTTTAGTATCTTACCTTTAATTTCTATGTTTTTTTATTGATTTAGCTGAAAAGATTCAAAATGTAATATATTTTAAAAAAGATAGAGACGATTTAGTTGTATTTCATAAACCACATGGATCGTATCATATTTTTCCATTTAAAATACTTTTATCTCATCTCTCTTACTTTTGTAGTCTTATTTAACGAAAAAAGAGTTGATATCGGACAAAAGGACCATTTAATGAGACAGAACCAAATCTCGGAGACTAGATACCTAATATATAAAAACGTGAGGAAATAATTAATTTTGTAAAACCTCAAAGATGAAATAATTTTCCCTTATATATAAAAGTAAAGCAAGTGCTATCAAAATTTTAATGGATAATGTTAATTTTGATGTTTGTATTTAGTTTTTTTTTTTCTATTTTAGTTTTTGAACGGAAAATTGTGACAATTATGCATTCAAATTTATTTTTTTATTATTTTGTGCCTCTTGATGATATGGATAATCAGAATATTTAATGGAACTAATTAAAACCCACATATACCTGCGTGTCTCTTTACATAGTCTCACATTTATTTTCACATAGGTTGTCCAACGAGACAAGAATAGTGAATTACCATTTAACCCGTATTTATTACCCTAGTCTATCGTCTCTCTTTCTCTTTCTTCTTTCTCTTTTGGGGTCTCTACAACTCTTCTCTCTCTTCCATTGAAAATCACCGATCTTGGAGGAGACGAAGAAGCAGAGTCGTTATTAAGCAAGGCAAAGCAGGAGAAAGAAAAAGAAGACACACCTGATTCCTGTTGATTTGTTGTTGCACAACTAAACGGTTGAGCCTGATCAGAGCAATAACAAGCAAATGAACTAGTGGTATAGTTGTAACCACACAGCCCACCAGACACCTAGTGTAATAGTTGTAAATCGACACAGCCGCACCAGACAGACAATTTACACGTGGCACAAGTAGAATCATTTGCAGTCCATTGAAGTCCAAAACCCTGCTCTAAGCTGCAATCAAATTTTCCTTTGGAGGACTAATCTCTATAGGCAGAACAGCTGATTCTGTTGCCGGAACAGTAACGCTATTTTTGCAAGATACCAAGACGCTGATTAATGCATTGTCATAATCACTTAGCCTTCTTGTCGCATAAAAACCATTGCTATTGCTGTGGTTTAAGGTACAAGTAAACTGACTTGAAAACCCTTCAGGTATAGCAATTTGCAGCCGAAAGAGCAGGACAATCATAGTACAGAGTTATATTCCGAATACCCGAAGAATAATTGAAAGAAGCTGAATTCAAAGTGGTGTTGTGAAGGAGATTAGGACAGATTCCTCCTATGTAGTCTGTTCTAGCAACCTTAAGAGTCTGTGACTCGCTATAGATGTCAAGGAAGATTCGTGATTGTGATCACTGCGGTTTCTTCTGTGCAATTAAGCCAGAAGTCCGGTTGGCCACAGTAATTGTAATTAGGTCGAGCTGATCCCCAGAAAGGATAAGCTTAAATACCTGTAATGTTTCCACAATCAAATGTTCCGCTGCAGTTCTGGTATCGCTCATCAATTGCCAGATACAAAAATCTTGAGAGGTAGAGAAAAGATTATAGTTAATGATTTAAAGCCAATTAAAGCCAAAGACAGGGTTGTGAAGGAACGGGATTGCATTTTCAGAGAGTGAGAGATGAAGAGACAGAGAGTTTTTCAGGATACGTGATAATTTGTAAAGAAAAGGTTCAATTGGAATGGTTGATTAATGGTGGTCAAAGCCAGCTTTGGTAATATGAAAAAAATTGGAATAAAGTGAATCCCTAACTCAAATTTCCTGCCAAAGAATAAGTCAGCTATATAAATCAAAACACGGAAGATGCATCTATAGTTCAATAGATTCTATGTGGTCCTTTTTGAAGAGTCAAAGTAAACCAACCACACAGAATATGGTAAAATCAGAAATTTAAAAGTACTTCCCTTAATTTTCTTATAATTTAGAAACCAACAAAGTTAAGAAAATGGGGACAATACCTTGAACCCCTTTCCACCCAAATTTTTCCACCCAAATTTTAATTAACTCAAATATTAAAATTTTCTTAATTAGATAGGCCTTTTAAAATTTTCTTAATTAGATAGGCCTTTTCAAATCTTAATTTCAAGGGACAACTTAACAAATTTGTTAAAAATTAGATTTCTAAATTAACAAAAACTCAAAAAAATATATATATATATAAATTAAGAAAATGTCAATATTACTAAAAAATAAATGAGTAATCTCCAAACTATTCGTATGTAGCTTATATAATTCAACTATGACAATCGCGATTGGCGACAACGACGACGACTAGTGATAGCATTAACGGTAAATACAAAGTGTATATACACACATGTAAATACAAAGTGTATATACACACATGTATATATTATGTACGGTATGTATGTAAAACCAATTAGCAATCTCATAGGAAAAGTGATTTTTGTGATTTATGCTTGGGTACTTTATTTCAAAATTATAATATTGGTATTAATAGGCCAAATTGTGATGTTAGAATTACAAAAAATGAAAATCCAAGTAAATCCAAGTAGAAATTTGATTTGTCGTAAATATAGGAATTTGCAACTAATCTTTTATTTTAAAATTTTATTTACAATCAAAAGAAAGGTCTTTTGAATCTTTCAGATGG